AGGAAAGTAAGCTCAACAAGCATAACCCAAGAGAGTCCTCAAAATCCAACTGTGCTTCATATATAACAGCCAAGTGACTTTTGTAAGCCACGTGCAACATTGTGTTGAATACTTCATAACGGAGGTAAGAGCCAAAATGAAAGAAAGAAGATAAACTAATCCAGGAAAGGCATAAAAATAGATTTTTTTTCATTTATTTAATATTGTCCTCTCAAAGTAAGGAGGGACTACAAAGAAAGTATAAAAGTTGGGACTCCAAAGTAGTACACATAAGAGTGTGACAAATGAGGTATGCAAGTGAAAAATAAAACGAGAATAATTAACTGCATATAAAGTATGGACAACATCTTGACACTTTAGGCTCAACTTTACTCAAGTCAATCAAAGAGCAAAAGGGCTCGATGCAGGACAGCAAACTGACACGCAGCTAGTGAATCGAAATGAAGGATCGCGTATTCATAGGCATCCGATGGAAAGCGATCTCAAATGTGGATACTAATTCCTTAGCTTAATGGCTCTGATGACATCATAAGAACCACGAGAGAGGTCCAGCCTGAAAAAGGATGCGCCCGTTGACCTCTTCCCGTGGTGTCATTGAATTGTTCCCAAAAAAAGCCGGTTCGGCGCAACTCTCCAAGAACCGTCCGCACCACGCCTCGAGATAGTTGATCGGCCAGATAAGCAGCCTTAGTCGTAATAAATGAATCTGATCTGCCTGATACAGCTCGTGGACCTGATGCAGATGCCTCAGCCGGGGCTGCTATTGTAGAGTAGTAACGCAGGGCACGCCATGCTAAGTAGTTCATGTTGATCCAAATAGCTCCGCGCCAGTATGCTGGGTCATCCTGAGTATTGGGAGCGGCATACCAGACCGAATCAAGGCTAAGTGAGCGCAGACCATGTGGCGACCAGAGAAGATGTGGTTCAGACAAGTCTGAAAGAATATCTAAAAGGTGGGGGGAGTCAGGAGGCAGGAGGCGCAGTAACAACGGGAAAAGGCTGAGGTATCCAAATGCACTTGTGACCAGTTGGGCACGAGGTTCGCCGGTGACTAAGCGGATCCTCTTAATATCCTGAAGCAAAGGAACATAGTAAGTGGAGTGAACTAGCCATTATAAATAGTAAAGATGACAAAGTGAAATGAGGAAAAATTTAATCACAAGATAAAAAGTAGCAATTCTAGCAAGCATAGTCTTAATAAAACAAAAATATATAATTGAAGGTATGAAGGGCAAGATGGAGTGGCCTTTTGTGTGTTCGCAGTCTCCTTTCATTGAGTAGAAGTTGTTTGACCATGTTTTTGCAACTTGGTCATATTGGCAGGAAGACTTAGAGGAACGCACACAATCCAGAGTCGGACTGTAGACGTAATACATTCACAGACGTTTCGCCGGCATCGTAAATGAATCTTGCCAGTCTTAGCAACCAAGCTACAACTCGTCAAAGAGACAAGTTAAGTCGATCCTTGGTATCTCTCCTTCCACCCAGGGCTAATCACCAATCCTATTTCTTCGTATCACACCTCCACTATCACAATTTTTTACTTGTTTATTTAAATATAGTGTGGTGTACCCATTTGAGCGGCTTTCATGAGAACTCTCCACACTCCACGCTGGCGTCCTCATCCCCCTTCACCCTTGTGCTGGGAATGTCATTCAGAGACTCTTATTGTTACACAGTCCTCCTACCATAGGTCCCCGTAGGATCCGGCTGCTATCTCCCTGGTTCAAGTATTTCACACGACTCCTGCCACCCCATCTGTGCTACTCGAGGCGTTATTACCTTTGCGCCTGGATGAATAATTCGAAGACGAAGCCTGTGAGTAAGTGTCATAGTCACATGGCCTTTGCAACATGAAGCACGTTTATGGTGAAACAGGTCTATTGTCAGTCAATTAGCTCTAGTCTCCACCGTGTCTATCCTATTTCTATCCGTAATACCATATCTATGACTTCCAATGCTCTAGTCAGTTGTGTGCCAACCCACGAATGTTGTGGCACTGCTTGATTTGATTAGGTTAAATGTCGAACGACAACACTTGTGGTTTGGCACAAAACTGACTAGAGCATAGGAAGTCATATACTTTTGTATTAAGGATAAAAACAGGATAGACGCGGTGGAGACTATAGCTGGTTGGCTGACAGTAGACCTATTTCACCATACACGTGCTCCATGTAGCAAAAGCTTGACCATGAGAATTACTCAGGGGTTTTAGCCTCAAGTTAGCCCTTAGACGCCGAGTGTGGAAAATAACACCCCGAGTAGCACAGATGGGGTCGTAGAGATCTAGTGAAATATTTGAACCAGGGAGATAGCCGACGGATCATACGGAGCAAGAGGGAGACTCTGATAAGACCTATGGGAGGAGGACTGCGAAACAATATGGCAGACTGATCAACATTCCGAATAAAAGGGTGAAGAGGGGTGAGAACACCAGCGTGGAGTGTGAAGGGTTCTCAAGAAAGCCACTTAAAAGGGCAGACTACACTAGATTTAAATAAGCAAGGAAAATTGTGATACGAAGATATAGGAAAAAGAGGAGGACAGAAGGAGAGATAACACAACTGTTTAGCACACATTTGGTCAAAGGATCGGTTTCACTTGTCTCTTTGACGAGTTATTGTGTGGTGCTAAGAATGGCAATAATCACTGACGATGCCGACGAAACGTCTGGGAATGTACCACGTCCACGGTCAAACTCTGGAAATTATCCTGCATACAATGGACTCCGGACTGAGAGTTTCTCTAAGTCTTCCTACCAATATGACCAAGTTGCGAAAACAAGGACAAGCAACTTTTAAAAATAAATACTGCTTGGTTCTCATTTAGTATTGTATTGCTTCTCATGTTGTAGAAAGACCTTCTGGCATTAGGAATGAGTAATATCAACAGCTTTCCAAATGGGGTCATTTTCTAGTAGAAGGCGCGGGACTTATCCGATCTTATGGAAAGTTAAACTTATGTATCCTAAGTATAAATCGATTTCACTGGGGCGCACAAAGCAATAATCTATTACTACAGCTCACTCTTATCCACAACCCACAAGCATAAAAGAGTTAGAGCATCGGAAACCACTGCTGAGGCAGTCCAAATAGGAAAAAAGACCTTAACAAAGCAAAATAAGCCACCGATTATAACTATAATTATACAGAAACAATGTACCTTAATCAAATGGCTGAGTAGGCTAAAAAGAAGGAAAGTTATCCACTGAGTCCACTAGATGCTGTCTACATCAGGTTAGTTTATCTTACGGCAGTTGCTAGAGGTCAAACTTGGAATAAGCATAAAACTCAATCTTGAGATTTGTTATAGACCACTATAAAATTAAGCGCAAAATTTAGATAAGACTGTTTAAATGACTAGCCATTATGAATAGCTCTGGGATAATGATGAACTGCAATATTTATATAATAAACTGAAATCTACCAGTCAGAAAAAACACTGTGGTCCATAAAACTATTGTAAAGATGCAGAGACAAATAATTTCCTCTTGAGAAATAAATGAAAGGTGGTTCAAATTAGTTTCCAAATCAAATAAATATAATGGTTGGAGTCATCTAATTCACTATAGTTAGATTTATCCCCTAGGGACATCATATGATGCAAAGAAAATATTCAATTATGAAAGGATATATATATAGAGAATCAATAAAACAAGAACGTCATGAAGCCCAGGGTAATAGGATAACTGGGCTTAGAAACTGGAAATGTTCGCGAACTGCAACTAGATACGAGTTGCAATCACCCTAGATCGCAAAAAGTAATGAAGGAATAATATTAAAATTTTTCCACATTTTCATTGAATTTTACTTAATCTCGAAAACCTACTTTCCCAGAATATGGAAACTAGATAGAACGTAAAAGGTTTAGCGCAAAATAAAGATATTTAAACATTAAGGAGGAGAGTAAGCAGCTAATAAAATAAGAAGCAGATAAATTCTACAGTGTAATAAACAGTTTTTAAATAATATTGGTCCTCTCTCGACTCCTGACCACCTTTCATATGACTTGGTTCATGTATGCTATTAATTTCTGACAATAACAGCAGCCTGACAGACAGATGCTAAGACCTGATCCCTTCGAGATAGAGTACCGATTAATGCTTCGTTAATGTCGACGGTCCAGTGAAATATACTAAAAACAAACTCATATCAAATTCTGTTTTACCTCGTTTTCGCAACTTAGTCGTACTGTGATATACCTAGGAGAGCACAGCTTGTCCGGAGTCATATGCCATAGTAGTCCTGATAATTTCCAATATCGGACCGTGGTGTATTACCAGTCATAATTTTCAGCATCAAGCTGTAGACTTCATACATTCCGACGTTGGAAGTTATTACGAGTACTATGAAAACGAACTCTGAACAAGATATGTTAACCTAGATCTCTCTGACCACGCGACCATTTTTATACAACGAAAGGAAAACAAGACTAAAATAGAGGCAACACCATCTTGATGGAATCAAAGTACGAGGCCTTAAAATCTAACTTTTCATACAAAACAGGGGTCGCGTGTGCCACATATATAACACTAGGATTACTCAAAAATGTATAGCGGAAAAGAAACATGAGCGATGCTTAAGGCAGATAAGTTATAAAATATTACATTTGAACTAAAGAGAATATACAGATGAGAAGAAAGTCATATGTGACCAACCGATGGATGCATATTACGCTTGGCCATATCTTCTGGACCAAGGGGAGGGTCAACGAGCTTGGCATAATCGGTGTGAAGACCCCAGTCACTGAAACGCTTCTTAGACGAGGACCAATGAAGATCGTCCAAAAGATCAGAGCGCAGCAGGACATCCGCCCAGGTGCTGCAATGAAGCACAAGAAGCAGAAAGAAAGATGAACAGGAAATGGGAAACGGTACTTATATGAGAATAAAGAATTAATTATCGCTCTATTTGCAAATAAAATGTGGTTCTTTTATCTACAAATCAAAATATATACTAAGATCAGACAATTAGAAACTATGCCGACATAATAGATGACCCTAATAGAGAGCGAGCAACACTTTAATGACTTAGCTATTAAATATTCGCATAGTTCTCCTGAATAAAAAAAATTTTGCTTCGCATAAATAAAATGACCGTTAGTAGGCCAATAAGAAGTTCTTCAATTCAATTGTAATTTATCCTATTACTATGAGCAATGTTTTTCCTTAAATACTGTATGTCTTCCTAGTATGCAACATTCAAACAAATAGACCCATCTCAAACTGTTCATAGAACGAGGAATCGTGTACACCTTAGGAACCAAAATAAGGAAAGGAAAATAATGTAGATTTTAAGCTTAGATTAAAGAACTCCTAAGCTACTTTAGAGCTTAAGTTTCAAATAAAAATTACAATCTCTGGCAAGCTATGAGCAATGGTTTGAGAGCAATACATGCAGCAATTTGAGTGCAAAAAGAATCTAAAATTGATTTGCCCCAAGTATCATGATAATTAGGAAATGGGGACTCGAGAGTGATGGCGGTAGGACCGAGTAACATTATAAGGTAAATTAGATATATATTTAACCATTCTTTTAAGTTAATAATTGAATTGGATGATGCTACATTCCTACTGGCAGAAAGGCATGCCTACCGATAGATAGAGGCTAAATTCGTTGCCTCTTCTGTCTTCTTCCTCAGACTAGACTGGCCAAAGTCTTGCAACAACGATAAAGTATGATCAGATAAGTCGCCTGGTTCCAGCTGACTGACAAGGTGAGCAATACGCGCAACAAGCTTAGCAAACACAGTCATCCAGCACCGCAGGTCGAGATGGCGTTCTTCGTCTGTTGGATGAGAAGATCGAGGGTAGTCATCCAAGCCTGGAATAAAGATTTTATAATGATAGATAGATTCAAGGTTAATTGATGCGATTTAGTGAAATGGCAGAAAAGAGAAGCTAATACAGGAATGGACTAAATCTTTCACATTTTGTTGATTTGAAATTAGCAACTAAAAAAGGGTAGCTATTAAGACAACTTATGATGTTTACAATAAAGATGAATCGTAATTTCTACAAAGTAAAAGGAGAGAGAAGGGGG